CGAGTACGAAAGGTAAATCAGGATTGACTAGAGCCTCTATCGATCGCCTAATTCGATTTGAGATGAGCGAAGGTGCAACGGACACACGCGTCTCGACTTCGGCGCTCCAGCTGCAACTTCTCACTGAGACGCTATTGACAGTTATGCCATCCGAAAGCAGAGGTGACTCTTATTACTGCCAAGGAATAACCTTCACCACTACTATGCACAGTCACCCACTTGTGACCACCTGAGCAATGGCCAGCAGGATCCGACTGCCATCAATGGCATCGCCTCTGTTACAGATACCCTCGTCTTCTCGCGATGAGCGTGATAGTGGCTTCCCAAGTGCGCTCGGGTTGTCTCTCACCTTGTGGTAGTCGCTCCTACCTCACCGTAGCTACTCGCGCCTAATCCGGTACTGATAAACAATCAACAGCTTCCTTCCTCCCTCCCCTCCACCACGACTTGACTCAACCACCCCACACTCCTTCATCTGTCGCTCCCTCGATTTTCTCCTTGCGCAGCTTGCCTGACAGGATACACTCTCTTTACATTTCGTGCAACTACACTCACTTCTTTATCTCAGTCGCGCAAGTCGCCCTTCGGCACCTCACAGCTTCCAGGAAGCTAGCAACTAGGTAGCCACAGTAGTCTTCATTCTGGAATATAACTAACATGGCAAGCAGTCTTTCTATCCTCTCCTTTCGGTGATCTGGTTTCGACACTATTCAAGACTACTACGTACACGAGCACTTTGAGTCACTCCAAGATGCATCACTTCATCCTTGTCGCTTCAGCTCTGGCCGCTAGTATCCTCGCTCATCCGCACATCCATGCAAGGCAGCCCGGAGTCGTCTATGAGACCAAGATGATCATACAGACGGTCGTTGTCACGGTTACTCGAGGCTACACTCCGCCGACATCCACCTCTTTGGCGCTATCCGCTACCGCCAGCCCCGAGCCCACTCCAACCCCAGAGCCGATGCCCCAGCCTGCCCCTCAGCCTGAGCCCTCGACTTCCAAGGTTCCTGATGCTCCCGTTATATCACAAGCACCTATGCCCAGCTACAGTCCTGCGCCCAAGCCTGCCGATCCAGTTCAAAAGCATCCATCGGGCGAAGACCAGGCCTACCTCTCTTCTGGACCCGACTATCAAGCTGCTATACTGTTCCATCACAACGCCGTTCGTGCAAATCACGATGCAGCTCCACTGACCTGGGACTCCGCGTGCGAGGCGAATGCGCGCATTGCTGCTAGCAGGTGCGACTTCGAGCACTTCACCCCACAGGGCGCCGGCCAAGGTCAAAACTTGTTTGTTGTTTCTGGCGACGCGTTCAACGTTACGGCGGGCATATCGGAGACCTGGTACCATGGCGAGCTTCCGCACATGACACCTTGGTTTGGCAAGAGTGACCTACCCCATGAGGTCTTCGAGAAGGTCGGTCATCTTACACAGATGGTGTGGAAGGACACCACCAAGGTCGGATGCGTCTCTCTCGACTGTGGTGGGGCCATGACTGTCAACGGCATAGGTTCGGCCATGAACAAGTACACAGTCTGCAATTACTCTCCGTCGGGTAACTACAAAGGCCGGTATGGAGCGCAAGTCGCCCCTCCTATCCCATCTGCCAACTTTATCGGCTGGGCAGACTAGTCGTCACTTCAGCTGATACGTCCTGTCTTTTCGATCTTTACGATGATATGGGCTATCAGCGCTTATGGTTATACGGATATCGCTCGGCAGATCGGGAGCATGGGACGCATGAGGCAGGCCTTCCCTCGTTGTTTCCTTTCTGGCATGGTTACTAGTCTCCTCCTAGCGTTCACTACTTCCATCAGCCAAGTGCCAAAAGTCTCAGCGAATGCATATCGCCGTACATTACGATGTGCGACCAGTCTCAAAGTGATTCCAGACGCAGCTTATCTCGATACAATGTCCATGCCCGTGCCTCAAAGTGCTCGTGATGCGTGGAGCTGAAGGTTGCTTGCTTGTGACCCACTTGTATTTGTCCGTCGCTTTAGCTTACACAAAATCGGTGCAAAGATCTCGCAGTATTGATAGAAGTGGTAGCGGCGAAGTTGCGAGAGAGCGGACCCTTTCGACGGGCGTTGATGACGTCGTGGGCGAACCTCGGCCGCTAGCGACGCGTCTCCTGCACACGACGCGTCGCGCTTGCCAACCTCTTTCATCCACCATGGTATGCTTGCTATGCTACAACATACGATATTGAAGAATATTCCCTTGCTGCCTTTGTTCCCGAAGCCCAGAACCGAAATGTTACCAGGGGAATATTACGCGCACGCGCGTAGTAGCAGCAAGTGAATGCGTCGCTACGCCCCGCAGTCGGTCTTTCCATTCGCGATGCGATATCAATACCGCGTAAGGTTTACGCACTCTACACTCACTACGAAGTGCATGGTCAGGGAGACTGCATGGAATCATCTTTTGATACTAGGTATTTGTTCTACATCCCATGTCGCCACATCCGTGACGATGTCTTCACTGCTCGTGCTGAGCTGGCACGGGTACCGTATTTCTGGAGCTTATTTTGACTCGGCAGCCCCGGCATACTGTCACGGCTCGAGAGTTTGTGTGCTGCTGGACGTCATAGCCCCGCAAAAGCCTTTCACTACTAGTTAACTTGAAGTGAACGCTGGGTGCACGGTCCCTGATTGCTTCTGCCTAGGCATACCACGAACTCCTCCCTGCCACTTTACCCACCCAACTGAGCACTACCAGCGACGGACTACGTTGAAAATTCTCAACTGCTACCGAATATGGCCTGCGCACCTAACCTCGCGAGTCTTCCCAACGAACTGAAGACAAGCATCTTCTCTTACATCAGATTAAAAAAGGAACAGGCAGCTGTTTGTCTTGTGAGCCGCGATTGCAAACAGATCATGGCGCCCCAAATGTGGTTTTGGCTCGACCTAACACCCACGACCATGTCAACCGCGAAAACAATGGCCCTTTTAGATCCCGATAACGGTATACTTCACCACGTCCGTCGAATTTTAGTCTACCACGGCCCACGAAAGTCACTCCGAGGTCACTCTCAGGAGTTCGAGTCTGCCATCCAACTCATTGTAACTGCATTACCGAGAGACACTCTACTTTCTTTCTGTACGTCAATGAATTTTGATCCTGGGTTTTTGCTCAACCTACTCCGCCATCAGAGGAGACTTGATCGTCTCGAGATACCTACGAGATTATCAGACCGGAACACATTGATCGGTCTTCAAGTTTCTACGCATGCGTCCTGGGTTTCCGCTACGCTGCGCGAATTGAGGAGGCTACAGGTACACGTTGGCTCGGTGGATTGCGCTCACGAAAGCTGCGCATACTTGCTAAGGAACTCTCCGAAGCTTCGTCAGCTCAGCATCATGCCCGAAGAATCTCTACTACTTACTAGGAGTTACCACGAAGCTTCTCTCGGTAGTTCGAAGGGATGCGACGCTTTTGGTGGACCATTTGCAGACAGTGTTGTTGTGCAGCCATTGCAGCTAACACACTTGCAATTACGAGTCGATTTGAAGCTGCCTCGACCCGAAACTATACTCGCATACATCAATTTCTCTGGACTTCGATCGCTCTCAATCGACGCTTGTGGTCACGTAGGGCCATTTCTTGCAGCGCTTGCGGCTCAGTTTTCTCAAATCTGTAATCTGATCGGGTTAGAGATCGTATTGCGAGGCTTCGAGATCACCCCAGATGAAGACGTTCGACTGATTGAAGATGTGCTAATGTCCTGTTCGAGTCTTCAACGCCTCTGGATAAGCACAGGACAGGCCAGAACGGTGAATACCTTATACATCGTTCGACATGGTAGCACATTACGAGAGCTTGGTCTAAGCTTTAATCCGGAAGGTTCGACATACTATTCCGCACAAGATATGTCTCTTATATTATCATCCGCTCCGTATCTAGAGCAACTGGCTGTACACATATCTCCAATCGAGATGGGCAGCTCACAATCTCTCGGCACAGATTTCACACTCACAATACCGAGCTCTTATGATGTACCTAATGCCTTGGAGGCATTCTTGGTAGGTTCTTGAAGCCCAGAATCGGTATCGAACAATCTAATAACCAGTGATAGGCTTGCATTGCGCGTCATCCAACGCTCCGAAATATGCGCATGATTTCGCTACCGAATATCGACTACGGCCTTTCACCAAACCCTACTTTCCAGAATCGAGTTAGCATAACAGATGAACTCGTACCCAGCGCAGCTATGACCATGCAGTCGCTTGCTACAGCCATCGTCCGTTTCCTCGACAAGCTTGGCTCGGGTATAACATTGTTCGGGTTTTCCGCCGAGTACATGCCTACAGCCCGGCCAAGGAAAGATACCAACGGCCATCTATGGCCCCGGTATTTCTATACCCGCGGTCGTACTATCGATGCAATGGGGAAAGGAAGAGTCGCGGCTGTTCCTCTGCCGGCTGCGGGTCTGCCCGAAGACTCGTGTTTTAGTCGATCTTATGTGAAATAGTTGGGCTTCGAAATAATCTGTCGGAGACTACGGAGAGTGGATTGGATTGGCAGATAGTGCTTGAGATATCACAGTTGTAGGAATGACTTGACTATGCGTCACGCCGGAGGTTCTTTACGGATGCCTCGCTTGCAGGTTGAACATGTTTGAGATGTTACCTTCGTCTTAGACACTTATGTTCATTGTTTGTAATTTATAGCCAGGGCAAGGCTTCTCGCATGCTCGCAACGGTCGAGAGATAGATAAGAAGGTGGCACGCGGCTGTTAATCTGGCAAAGCAAGGAGGGCAAGAAGGACGAGGGTGCGATGCCTAAGTAACTAAGATCCTGCGCGTTCAAGACAATAATACGATTAGCTACCTATGTGTGGAAGGCTGGTGTCTAGTGTATTCATAATGGAAACCAAAGTAGTAAACGCCTTCAACCCACTGAGAAAAGTACCAGGCGTCTCCTCGTAGTCTGACATGTCGCAAACAATATGTCCTGGCGAGACCGACATCCTAATCTTGCAAAACGCGGGCGTCTACATCTTCCCTAGCGCCAGTGTTTGAGACTCGGCTGCGCATATGAAGTCTTGAAACCATTGGCGTTCTCCGAGATTAGCAGCCCCAACGAACGTCTATCGGCATAGTTAGTATAGTTGATCGGTCGTATAAGGACATCAGCTTACGGTTTGCAAACAGCTTGAACGAATCTGCGTTGTTCAGTGCCTTCCTGGAAGACAGCTTAACGGAAGGCCAGTAGTCATAAGCCCAGTCCTTGGTACCAGGGCTATACACCTCTGAAGAATGCGTCATCTCGTGCAGAAGTACAGTGCCCTGATCCTTGGCTGAACATTGCCCTTTCGCTACTGCCGGCAGGTCCCAGTAATCAGCGCAGAACGTGATGCCGAGACCAAGCCGGGCGTAGTATGCAAGATTACCGTTACAATTGCCGATACGGTCATGACAGTAGAGATTCAAGCTTGCACTAGGATTAGCGCATTCTTGCGCTATTGCGGTGTATCGGGCAGAAACCGCATCTTTCGTAGCTTGTGTTCGCGAGTGGAAGAAGGTTTCGAGATGGCGGTGGCCGGCTCGAGCTGCAGCTGCAGCTCCCAATGCTAGCTTTTGACAATTCTTTTGTGCCTCGGCGATTTGATCATTCATGAAAGCTATGAAGCCTGCGTCAGCGTTTGTGCGAGTCTGTGATGGAAAGGAGTACGTACGTCGGCAAAAGTAGGGATCTGCCCAACGTTCGGCTACTGGCTTGTGAGTAGCCGCTTCGGTACCGTTGACAGTGATGCTGAGCTTGTTGGAGCTGTATTGGAGATGGCCAACAAGCTCGGTCGAGTTGGTGTTGGCGTATTGCAGCATGCCGTTCGCGAACACATCAAAGCTTCCGCCGTTGCTGAGATCGTGTAGAGAGGCAGCTTCAATCGTCAACTCTTTCTTGTCTCCAGCTTCAAGAACAAGGAAGTCGTCTGTGGATAGGTTGTCGGTATCAAGGTAAACCCCGCTGATGCCTTCGAAAGGAACCTTGATAGCTGAATGTAGGTCAGTAATAGTTTGTCTTCAGTCGCGTTGGATTTGGTAGATCTAAGTAGAACTTACAACTGTTGCTAGCGAACATCGAGATGCGCTCGACGGGTAGCTTCTCATCGAAGAGAGTGGCTCTCCTGAGAAGGTTCAAAGCCATATCGCCGTTGTTCGTCACTACGACCTTGACGGCGGAGTTACCCGCGGCAGTGAGCTGAACGCCAAGCTCTGGTATTGACGATACTTCTCTTTTTTCAAGAGGAACGATATAACAAAGATGTGGATCAGGGAAACAGTCCACTACTTGCCCATTCAATGAGTAGGAGTTATAAAGAGCGTCTAGCCGCATAGTTAGCATAGTCTATACGGTGTGGGTACATGAGCTTACCCTGTGCGAACAACACGAAAGAATCTGCATTGTCCAGCGCCGCCTCGGTCGTCTTTACTCGCTCCGTCGTGTTATGGAAGCCATATTCCAAATCGTGCGTGCCAGGATGATATATCACAGGACTGTGCGTTAACTCGTGTAGAATCACGGTGCCCCGGTCCCCGCCTTGACCTGTCGGCTTCGGGTTCACTAGCGGCATGCCATAGAAGGATTGGCAGAATGTCACGCCGAAGTCGTCCTCACTTGTATAGAATGCCACTTCACCGGGCTTACACTGGTCGGGTTCGTAAGAACAGTGGTAACCCAAGCGTGGCTTGGTGCATTCCTTTGCTATTGCGTGGAAACGGGAAGCAACCTTCGCCCTGATGTCTGACGAATCCGAGTGGAAGTAGGCCGGGAACCTGGAGTCTTCATATGCGGCTTTGGCAGCGCGCAATGCTAGTTTCACGCACTGGCCTTGTGCCGTTTGAATCTGTGCGCGCTGGAAATCTGTGAAGCCCAAGTCAGCGTTTGCGCGGATCTATGATGGTATGATGAAGGGAGGAGTACGTACCGCTGCATTGGTCCTCGAAGTAGCGCTCGGCTACTGGCTTGGGAGCAGCCGCTTCGGTGCCGACAGGCGCGGCATGAATGTAGGTGGCCAAGAAAGCCAGGAAAGCCAGGAAATGAATAATAGACCACTTCATTTTCGAATGGAAAGCTGGTGGAAATGTTTGGAGAAGATTCGGAGTGAACTGTTTAGAGTTGTACTGTTGAAAGTGAGTCGTCTTATAATATTTCCAAATCAGCATATAAACACTAGCGTAAGCGAGGGATGGATGGGATTTCTGGTTGAGATTTCTGCAAATCAGCTGAAGCCAAAGCCCAAACTTACTTGCTCTCATGACGGTTATCATTTGGAAATACCGACCAATCTCGTCAGAAATGTATGGATTGCAGGGAACGTGAATGGTTCGTCGCACGTTGGTTGTTGCAGTACCGTGGAACGGAATTGAGACTGGGAAGCGATCGAATCGCAATCATGGTGCTAGCATGCGACACGTTGTCAGCGTACGTATCGCCCTTGCGATAAACGACCAGTCCGATCCAGAACCAGACCGCAGTCTAAGTCAAAGGCGCACTCCATGGCCAAGGTCGTCGCCGAAGCGACCCGCAGACTGCCCATGCGATAAGGCTGTGTCGTCTCTACCGAGCAGTTCGATGGACCCGAGGTAGCGCAGATACGAGGCTGAGGCTGATTCGGTAGAAACCAACGTTGAGGAGTGGAGAAGGCGTGGGTGGATATCTTGTTGAACGAAGGGGCGAGGTCGGCGCTTGCCGTGGCGGGCTGATGTATCGAACAACACCTAAAGGTAACAGCAAACCACTTTCCCACTTCTACCCACCTTCTCTACCCATTAATTTGTGTGGGAACTGCAACACAGCGTCTCCCTTCGTATTTGATATTCATCCGTCCCAAGTGCCCTCTACCCCTAATGGGACGTATCCTCATCGCTCGCCGGCTGTACCCAACGGGGACCACGTGAAGAACAAATCGCCGGTGCCAAAGCCTTCTGCCCCAGCTCTGAGGACGACCGTGAGCTTGGCCATAATGAAAACACTCTACCCCCCTCCAGACATCGGACTGGCAGCTGGAAGAAAATACTTCGCCATCGAGCAAGGGTCTCAAGCTCGGTCGCCCTTGATCTTCTCATTCTTATCCTAATCCTCTTTAACCTCCTCCAGATGTCGTTCTACACATCTGCGATGTCCCAGAGGCGACCCAGAGAAGACGAGCCAACCACACCTCCCGCATCTCATTTGACTCTTACGTGGGGAGATAGTCTACGAAAGAGGGAAGTATCGCATCTCCAGGAACCTCTGTGTAGTCTCTCTTTGGACAGCCTCCTCTTAATCCGAATCATCAGCCCCGCCGACGACCACGGTACTGCGGTGATGCACCAAACCAGTAGCACTCCAGCGAATAACATTATAGCTATCGCAATTATACCGTATATAAGAGTTCCATCTTAATGACCTGCCCGCAGTCTGAGTCAAAGGCGCACTCTCTTCATTTCTCCTCTTGATCAACGAGTTAGATCGAAAGGACTGGATGGAGAGGATCAAGCGAACAAACAGTTCATCGTGGCTGCAGCGGCAACGCTCCGTCGGGTAACTATAAAGGCCAGTACGGAGCGAAAGCCCTTTGGCACACCCCATTCAAATCAACCACACTCGATATTCACTGCGCCTTGGTCACATGATACCCATCTTCTGCTCTGCACACGTGCACGCCCAGATTTCAGCTGCTCCATAGCTCTCACACTCTCTTCACGGAGCGAAAGTCGCGCCTCCTATTCCCTCCGCCAACATTGTTGGCTCGGCGGACTAGTCGCCACTCATGAGTAGCTGGGGAGTTCACCCAAGAACCAAACTCTGATAAACATCCACATATGCTACGAGCTCATCCGTGTCGCATACAATAATGTCGCCAATCTCCTTCCACCTGTGGAAAGACAGAGAGCACGTTGTGGTTGCCGTAGAATAGGAAGGAAGCAGAAATCTGCATGAATAGTACCTAATGAAATTCGAAGCAATACAAAAATCGATATGGAACAATCCCATCAGAAGACTACATTGTCTTGGTCACGATACGTTTGTGGGATTATGATACAGTGTATGCAGCAACGTGATACATGGCAAGTGAAAGCGATTATATTTCTCCGGAGGCATCGCGAGACTTATTGTCTGCGCGCCTCTCCAACAGACTGACGGAAATCCATAGTGAAGACCACCAGGGCACAGTGTGTTCAGGGTACAGCCTAATCGGAACTAGCGTCCCTCCGCACGACCCACCCGACGCCAAAGAGTAAACACTTCTCTTCTGTCTTTCGCGCAAGAGTAACCGCTCACTTGGTGTATTTTGAAGCAACTCACACTCCCTCAGTACTTCACGCCGGAAGTTTCCACCTCTCGCCCCGCCAGTCCCGATACCATGGCCAAGTTTTCCGACCTCCCGACCGAGATGAAGGCGGCCATCTTTGCCTGCATTAGTCGAAACCGCCATAGACGAACAGTCTGCCTTGTGAGCCACAATTGGAGAGAGACAATGGGTCCTATACTCTGGAAGACCCTTTACTTGAGAGCCGCCACTAATCTACAAGGGGATTTGGCTTGTTTGCTGAGCTCAGGCAATGGGGTACTTGCGAACGTGCGCCATGTCCACATCTATGGAGATCTGGATGGTGGTAGTGTGGAACTTGGCCAGATATCCAACTTTGGCATGGCTGTCAAACTCATATTTGGCGCTCTACCAAGGAACTGTCTCTCGGGAGTCAGCTTCGACGTTCAGATCAGCATGTCCACTGTATTAAATCTTCTACAGTCTCAGCAAGTGCTGCAGATCCTTCGCCCTCGAACTATTATGCCCAATGAGAATTCCTCGATTGATCTGAGTCTACCGACACACGCGTCATGGGTCACGCCTACACTGCGCAGTATCCGAGAGCTGCAGATTCCGATCTCCGTCAAGGACAACAACGCCTACAAAAACAGCGCCTATCTTATCAAGAATACACCGAGTCTAAAGACCTTGTGTATCAAAGGCATATATCCGGTCACTCCCCTTCTGGACCACCCGCGTGGAGACGATGCATTCGGAGGGCCGAACACAGGTGAAGCAGCCGTTTCACCTTCGCCGGTGAACAACCTCCAATTACAATGGCTGGATCTCGGACCATACCCTCAATCTTTCTACGGGCATATTAACTTCTCTGGTCTTCGAGTTCTCGTTGTGAGTCAATGTCGCAACACAAGAGCCTTTCTCAATGCTCTCGTTACAGCAGCTCCACTGAACACGGCATTGAGAGCGCTAGAGATATCGGTTTCTCCGAAGACAGTCCCATCAGACATGGACATTCAAGCAATAGAAGCTCTAATAGCCTCTGCTCCTGCAATAAACAAGATCTGGTTAGATGTAGGTAAGGGGCGCGCGATCCAGGTGTCGTGTTTAGCTGGACATGGAATCAGAAAGTCCTTGCAGCAGCTTGCTTTGTCGGCTACATCGGTTTTAGGCCCACTACCATATTACACTATCTCAGAGCTTGGCGGGATGCTAGCAAAGGCGCCAAATGTCGAAGACCTAGCAATCAACTTTTGCCCGGTTAATCTTGGTCATGTAGAGTACTTGGCTGCGGCATTCAAGCTACCTGAGCAGGATGGGAGAGATTTTGTTCTCGACGAAGCAACATCCTTACTGGTATGTGATCTATCTTTGAAATCGAATAAACCGCTAACAAAACGTGCAGGACTGTATCGCAAAACACCCGAGTCTCAGAACACTACGACTACTCACAGTGCCTAGCATCGACTGCGGAATAGTTCCAAACCCAAGCGTTCCGGATCGCGTCAGCCTTCCAGAGAAGTACGTCTACACTGCGCAAGTGATGATGCAAAAGTTTGCCACGGAGGTACTTCGATATTTGGCCAAGCACGGGTCCAAAATCAGAACCTTGGTTGTGTCACCTGACTATACGATCGGCATTAAGCGCGCTGTCTGCGATGAGAATGACCATCAGTGGCCGCGATACTTCTACAGATGTGGATGGACACGGATTACAAGCGGCGAAGAGCATATTGTAGCTGTCCCTGCAAGTCCAATTGATATTGAATACTTTGATCGCCCCACCCGATAAGCGGTCAGGAAGAGACGCCGTTGGCATGCGATCACGGAGATTCAGGGTGTGAAGAGAGCCCAGAATGGTGTAAAAGCGATATGAATGCGAGCACAAGGCATGGCCTACGGGAGCGATAAGAGACCGGAATGAACTTGACAGCTAGTCTGAATCGACCCCACACATGAAACAAGAAAACCACCGTGCCATCAAACCAAATCCAGATTTTCAAGCCCCTCCACGAGCATACATTGCCTCTCCTGCTCTTCGAAGTTGTCCAAATGCTCGTATGTAGTCGCCACGCTGTCATCTGCCAAACCCAGAACTTCTCGCTCCTCCGCTTTCATCTCACTGTCATACGCCAAACCAAGCATCTCCTGCTCCTCAACCTTCATCTCACTGTCACACGCCGAACCCAGCACCTGCTCCTCCACTTTCATCTCACCGTCACGCACCGATCCCAGCACTTCCTGCTCCTCCACTTCCATCCCGTTCCTACGCATCAACTTCCGCATCTCCTTCTCCATCTTCCTAATCTCCCTCTCTGCCTTATCCTTGATCCTCCTCGCCCTCGCCTTCTCCTTCCTCTCCTTCCTCCTCTGGTTGATAGCCTGCCTGGCCTGGACCCTCAGGTCACGACTCAACTCCCTTCGCGGCAGAACCTTTACATCCTTCAGCGCAGCGCCTAGCCAACCGCCCACGAAGTCCTCTCCCGCACTTCCCGTGACGAGTTCCCCGTCCAGTCTCACCGGCGGGAAACTAACGCTCCGATCGAGTAACTCAGACGGGTATTCGGCTAAAGCAAGCTTTTTGAACCGCTGCGAGGCGCCGCGCACGCGTTGCTGAGGTTCGATGTTGGGGAAAGGAGGGAACCAGTGAAACTCCACTTCCACGCTCTTCTCGGCTAGTTGTTTGGTGAGATGGGGTATGTCATCTACAAGCCATCTATCCCTCACCAACCCAAACGGATGGCCCTGTCTCATACTCTTGAGGACGCGTTGCACATCTGAGAAGACGAGCACGCGATCGACGAGCTCGCTTATCGTAGGAGAAGCGGCGACTCGGAGGGCTTCGCCGATGGATAGTAGGATGGCCTCGTTTGCGTTGGTGTAGTGTGCGATGGTGACTTGGGCGGTCCAGTCAGTAGTTGTAGGTGAGTTGTAGCCGACTGCTATGGCGCAGGGTTCGTTGCGCAGGTCACCGCTGACGCTGCTGTTGGTCCAGAGGACGAGGGTGCGATCGGGAGGCTGCGTGTGGGTTGTGCGCGCAAAGGCTGTGGCTTGGGCTTTGGACTTGATGTGGATTGATGTCGCGTAAGTGTAATTGTCATCGCGTCGAGGCTTTGAAGTGAAGTGATCGAGGAGATTGGTGTCGGAGTTCGTTACAGGAGCTGGGGATGTCATCTCAGTGTCCATGGCGCGGAAGTGCTGCAATATGTCGCTTTACTGAGATACCAACGGCGGTGACTGACGATTGAGTCTTTGCGGAGGTTGCGAAGATGGTATATCGGAAGCTCTGCGAAGGCAGTTACTCAAGGTGCTACTCAAGTAGGCTAGTGATAGAAGTGGAAGGCGCCACTAACACTCATAAGGATGGCTGGACCCTGGCTTACAATTCTATTGTGGGTCCAAGGTACTCCGAGCAGAACTCATACGTCATCAGTAGCCAACACCAGAGCATTTCTCTTCTATTCGAGTTGCGCGAGCCGTAAGTGGCTAGATAGCTAGTTATTTGTAGATCGTCGCAGGACCACTGGACGAGAAGCAGAAAACCCGAGTGATACCTTCCAGTGAACCGAAAAGATGTGAGCTCAGAGTCGGTATAGTATACATTGTGCAGGAAGTTTACCTCGCGCGCATTCGATGCAACTGCTAAGCTCGATTGGTATACAATAGCCTTCAATTAAGGGATTCGAGTTCACGGCAGATGTGAGTAGTCTTTGACAACACTGCAAATTCGCTACTGTTAACAACTAATTGAACTCCCAATGAACATAGAAGCGTGCACAGATTCATGTACACCACATTCATCATTCTGTTATGAACATTTAACGTTTGTGATAGCTTACATCACAATGTGTTCCAGTCTTCTGTGTGATCAGATGGGTAGGCGGGATACTCATCAAATTTGGAGAACTATTTCCGTGAAACCCAAGGCAGCTTACATTCAGAGATAAAATGCTAAACGTCACAATGCTGCACAAGCTCTTGTCGCTCTCTCGCTTCGTGATTCCAGAGCATTACAGTGAGTATAGAATCACACCATTATCTGTCAATTCGCTGTTCCTTTCTCGATCGCTTTCTTGTAACAACTAGAGACTTGAATCAGTCCACAATAAAGAATAGTCAAGGAGTCCTCGTGTGTATATGAGTTCTTGTGTGTATATGAGTCCTCGTGTGTTTATGATTCCTCGTGTTTGTATGAGTCCTCATGTGTATATGAGTCCTCGTGTGTATATAAATCTGCTATATTTGTCCCCAGAGTTTGTCTTCATAAACACTACATCATAAGAGCCATTAAGAGACACTTCTATACTGTATTTACCACCTACAAGTCGAACACATCCTTACAATTACCCAACAAGCCTCTCCGATACCTTGTACCAGACCTCAGCAGGACTGAGACCGAACGCAACCACAACCCCAACCACAACCTCTAAACATGTGCCAAATGGTCCTAGAAATCTGTCCCCTCTGCAAATTCTGCGGCCCATTGCACAAGCCCTACATGAAGGTGAGTTCTGACCGTAAGAAGTGCATATAAGACATATACTGACTTCGTACCTCTACTTCTGCAGATACGACACTCCCTCGAACCATGCTCCAACGCAGCAACGGCAGGCCCCTGCAGCAACCCGCCTAATGTAGACCGGCTGGGCGAAGATGTATGCCGACGCTGCATCAACCTGGCTAATGAGAAGAAGAAGCAAGATGACAAAAAGAAGAAGGATGACGATAAGAAGAAGGACAAGGATAAGAAGGCGCAAGACAAGGTGGACAAGGATAAGAGGATGAAGGCCTGGGCTAAGAGCAATAAGGCGGAGGGGAAGGCTATCAAGAGGTTGGGATAGGCGATGAGGAGGGGGGGAGTGTAGGGAGGCGGGAGGGATTGATGGTTATTCACGGTATATATTCATCTAGCGATGTTATGGGCGGGGCGAACACCGGTGGGTGCCAGAACTGTTTTGTATAGTAGATTAGTAATGAGACATACATGTTGAGCGATTGTAATACCTTTCACACTATTTCAGGTCAGGGCAGCAGGGTAAACCCTCAACGTCAATGAGCACGAACACCGAGAGACAAAGTGTGGGTCTTCATAATCTTCATTGCATGTCATAGCACGTATCCCTTCAGGCCCTGTCCTGTATACCACACCCCCAAGTATTTCCCCATCGAGTATTCCCAGCTTTTGACTCCCGCTTCCCATCGCTACGGTCGAGATACAAATACAAAGCGGAGCAAATTAGATAAGATGCCGCCCCAGAAAAACGCAATAGAGTCGTGCCCATGGGGCTTTGGGTGGATGAAAAGACACAAAAGACGCTCGCCGTGCTGAAAGCTATGCACAAGGCTGCAGAGATGGATGGAAAGGAAATGCTAATAAAGCGCAATGCCTCCGAGACTGAGGTATGAGTTTGGATTGGCAGGTCCTCCCGCCCACTAAGCGGCAGGCTGGGCACCAAACTCGGCGCCGCCGCGACCTCTGGGTGCGCCACGGCCGCGGTAGCCGAAGCCCCGACCACGTCCGCGACCACGGCCACGTCCTCGACCGCCCCGGTAGCCATCGACGCTGCCCTGGCCAAAGGTCTCCATGTTCTTCTGGCGCTCCTGGCTCCTGAACTCTTGACCACGGGTGGCAGCCTCTTCTCTGTCCTTCAGCTCGCTCGAAATGTTGTCGAAGAAGGAGCTCTTGTCGTACATGGATCCACCAGGGATGACGACCTCTTCCTTCTCCGTGGAAGCCTCGCCAGCAGGGACTGCCGGGGCATCGCCCATTGGGGATCCAGATGCGATGGCTTCCTTGACCAAGTCCTGCTTGTTGAACTTTGCGTTGGACGACTCAAAGTCGAAGTCGGTTGTGGGCACTTCCATCTTGGGGTGTTGAGGGTGAGCACCACCTCGTCCTCCTCTTCCGCCCCGACCACGGAACTCTCCTGTTCCTCGTTGACGAGGCTGGTGCTGGCGGCTTTGCTGTTCGCGCATGCCCTGCACCTGCTGTGCCAAGTTGTTCATGGGGTCTGAGACAGGCGGTTGACCCTGCGGTTGACCTGGTGCCTGACCCTTGTTCTGGAGGTTAAGCTTGGCCATGGCCTCAGCGACAGCAGCGGTTGCTAATTGAGTAGCGTTTTGCTGTTGGGCAGCGGTGGGCATCTGCGCAGGAGCGGCAGAGGGGCCGGCACCTTGTTGTGCTTGAGGAGCCGCCTTTGTCGCCCTTGGGCTTGGAATTGGTACAGCGGGAATGATTCGACCACCCTTGGGTCCGCTAGGCGCACCCTTCGCGGGTGGTTGACCGTTCTGGGGGTGGGGTGGCGCCAACGCAGCCGATACATCTGGCTTCGAGTCGACTGGTGGCGGGGGAGCCTGCTTGCCTGATGCAGCTGGTGATGCCTTCGCACCATTCTTGGCTTGTGGCTTGGATGGTGCGCCGTCTGCCTCTGCTACCTTCGGTTGCTGAACCTGACCCGGCTTCTCATCCTTGCCTGCTTGGGGACCCTGAGGACCCCGTGGGCCTTGTGGAGGTTGGTTCTGGTTCAGGCCTGGGGGGCCAATGGGCATATTAGGCGAGAAGGGACCAGGCGGCTGCTGGAAGCCGTGACCAGGAGGGAACCAGCCAGGAGGCGCTCCGAATGGAGGCGGCGGCATGCCAAAGGCGCCTGGTGGACCCCCTGGGAAAGGACCTGGACCACCAGGGAAACCACCTGGGGGACCGAATCGGTTTCCATATGCACCACCGGGGCCGCCAGGACCGCCGAATGGAGGGTATCCGCCAGGCGGGAATTGACCTGGTTGAGGAAAATTCGGCGGCGGTTGTTGACGACCGGCGAGATCTTGTGGACTGCCCTCTTGCCGCGACTGGGGTTGTTGTACCTGTGGCGCATGCGTCGCGTCAGCTTTGGCTTCGTGAAATATGTAGCAGAAGCAGTTTGGGTATGAGGATCTCAGAAGGAAGGCAACGGAAAATATCCACACGGTTTTGCGCTCTCGGTGGTTTAAATGATTTACATCCGAAAATTTTACATCATCGAAAAAGAAAGGAAAGGGTAGTTGTGTAGACTTACTCCGATGATGGCTGGGTCCTGCGGCATGGCAGGCTGAGCCTTCTCCTTGACAGGCTCTTCGATGCGCAGATCCTTCACATCGCTGCCTCGGAAGACAATTTGCTCGTACACGACGTCTGACGGTGGGTATTCGTCTTTGCCGCCCTTGCGGCCCTCTGTTCCGAAAGAGCGCACATTGTCTAATGAGACTGTGGAGGCTTCTGAGTTGATCTCGACGAGGGTACCGACATAGCTGGGGGCTGTTAGTCGCGTCGCGCAATGCATTCACGCGATGGAGGACTCACCGGATGTCACTCTTGGAGATGAGAGAAATGCGAGATCTACGCGTCCGACGTCAGCTGGAGCTCCAGCTCGAATTGGAGAGCTGCGACTAACCCGATGAACTCGGACATGGCTGTGTAACGTGGGTATCAAAACGGGTATCGAAGGAATTGAAGCTCAATGAACAAGAAAAGAAGGCGGCAAAGTGGTTGGGAAGGGTGCAAGTGGTTGGTGGAGGAGTGAGGGGTGAGAGAAGGTTGGAGAGCTCCGTGGTCGTGGGCTGAAGCTGCAGAAACTTGGCGCACGTTTAGCGAGGCGTAGTCTGGAGCCTCGCTTATCCACCTAGCACTTGTGGCAAAGAGTTGCAGAGCCTTTAGCTTAAATTTCTAGATTTCTAGATTCTAAAATAAGAGCGCTACTACTTAAATAAGCTAGTAGACTAAGTTACCTATAATTAAGTAATGCTAATTTTTTAGCTCTAATTTACTAATTCTTATCTACTTTACTTTACCTCTACTATTATAGTAGTTAATAGCCTTTTAAATTTAGTTATAAGTATATATATAGATAATTAAATACTATATATTTTTAAACTTATAAGCTAAAAAAGTAGCACTTATAAAAGTTATATAGCTCTAGTAAAGAGTATAGATTTATTTTTATTTTATTAGCTAAAGCTATATAATAAAAGTATTAGACTAAGCTTATAATATAAAAACTATAGTTTTTTTAAAGTAAAAGCTTTATAATAAAGAGTAGAAGCTTAGTAAAAAAAGGTATAGTAGTAGTAGTAGTAGTAGTAGCTTAGCTATAGTAGTGTATTTAAAGTTTATAAGATAAAGCTAGTAATTAAGTTTTTTTAAGTATAAGTTTAAAGCTAAGTAGCTAGAGATAAAGTTTAGTAAAATATATTCTTATCTAATAGGTAGCTCTACACGTAATCTTAATAGACTATAGAAAGAGCAAGCTTCAGGCGACCTCGGGCTTCCTTTACCCCACACGTACTACCGTTGCAGTCTTCGTCGGGTTGCAACTGCACCCATGCTTTGTCACCCATGAACCTGTGGACTTTAGACCCTTGAGGTCGTGAATTGTATCACCGTTCCGAACTTCACTTTCTCCTAGGGCCTCAGGTTGCCCAATCCCCCGCTATGAGCGTTACCGACGATGGGCTAAACGACATCTACGAGGCCCTGGATCGCTACAACTGGGACGATGACATCGAGTTCCAGGCTGGTCTACAGGCCATCATCGGCAGCAACAGCACGCCAGAGCAGACGACCGAGCTAGCACTGCGGGCGCGGTGTTTCTACTATGCGAGGTGCGTTCGGTTCGAGACTTCTGCTACTGCATCTATTTCAGCCCAATTGGGACGCGAGAGATGTCTATATCTCAAGAGCGATGTTAATTAACACCCCCACAGAAAATACAACAAAAACATCGACTTCAACGCCTACAAAGCCTACCGCAGCGCACGCAACCGCCCCCCACCCACACCACCAACCCCGCACAACGTCCTCGCCTCCTCCGTCGTAGACGAGATGCTCCCCGCCGGCACCACACCCAACGCATCCACAACTAGCCTCCCCATAACCAGCGACCTCCCTCCAAGCAGCTCGCCAAGCGGCATCATGCCCCCACCCACAACCACAGCCGAACCACCAGCACCCTACCCCACCTCCTTCGCCCACATCGTCGAGCTAATCACAAGCGGAAAGCCCGTGCCTGGCATCAAAGAGATCCCGCCGACGGTACTGGAAGGCCAAGGCACGGAGGCTAGTAAGCCAAAGAGGAAGAAGCCGTGGGAGAAGGATGGGGCGTGATGGTTCCCCCCTCCTATCAAATATCGATTCCAGCATCGGTTATCAAGTAGAAAGTATGGCGCCGTCGTTGTCAAAAGCAAATGGAGACATTCCATGTATGCCCTCACCGCTTGCTTGGTTATCGGATGGTAGTTCGACATGATCAAGTTTCGCAACCGCTCTAGGCAAGTGTCCAGATACTTGCCCAGAGCGGTTGCGAAACTTTATCATGTCAACCCAATCTGCCCATTCAATATCTTATACAGAACTACCATCCGATGGCCCAGCAAGCGGTGTGTAAATTCGAATCGTAATTCAACGTGGTACGTGCAGAAGAGGCATACATGGAATGGTTCTAGGAAGCGTTTGGTGCTGTAGCTACCCATGACAGCAAGAATGTTCCCCCTTGCCCTGCACTGTACGTATCACAACATCAAGTACCAAGTAGAAAGTGTGGCTTCGTCGTTACAAAGGCGGGTAGATACGTTCTGTAATTGCGTCTTCCCTTTGTGGCTTATGCTGTCCAATTCGCCAATATACAAAGCGAAGTATAGTGAGGACTTGGATAGCAAAAGACACAAAGGGAAGAGGCATACATGGAATAGTTATAGCTACGCAGAACAAAAGAAAGATACACATGCAGACATGGTTTCAGGCGGGCTTCGGAGTGCATGTGATCAGGATACAACGATACTATGCATATAATCCAAAAAGCAACCTACACGCTATGCTACCTACATCCAAGATTTTCCCTTATATCCATCCATCCATCCATCCACACACCCTTCCCCCACCATCCCCACTCCCATCCCATCCCATTTTCATCCCATCCCATCCCAATCCCAAGAGTAACAATACCAAACAGCAAACTGGGGTATATAGCAGATCCAACCTCCCAACCTTACCCAACCTGATCATCCCATCCAATATACGCCCAATATACACAAACATTAAATGAGACCATCAACATCAACCCACCCTATGATTTTACCCGCTTTGAAACAAAACGAAACTGTTCCTCCTCTTCTTACAACACAGCCTCAAGAATGCGATCTTTGAGACTCTTGACCTCCTCTTCCCTCTCCCATAATCGGCGTTGCATGTCTAGGAACTTGGTTTTCCATGCCGCGGGCGTCATGTGCGCTCCACTACCACCGTCCCTGTCCAAGGCCGCATCGCCATCTCCTCTGCGGTCACCACTCGCGTCTTCGCTGTTGTCATTCGGTATTTCCAAACCCTTGGCAACCCACTCCCCAGTCAACCCGCCAAAGTTAACAGCGAAGAATACATCAAAAGTTTCTTTGATACGACTACCTGAGTTACCAGGGTGAGACCGTAGGTTATCTCCGGTGGCATCCCCATCGTCTTCGTCGTCGTCGATCGGACTTTCATAGCCATCGCCTCCAATGCGGAAGCGTATGCATTCTACGCGACGAACGCCACCTGTGGGACCGCCAATACCGATGCCGACTGCGCTGGTGAGACCCAGACAACTGCTGATTGCTATGCCGAGGGCTTGGTCGGACATGACTTTCGCGGGGGAGGACGGCAATCCCGATGCTGGCTTTGAGTAGAGTGGTTGGAGGATAGCAGTGGCTAGGGTTTTCGCTTCGTTGCCTCTTAAGCGCTTCCGACGCCCGGTAAGCGGGGCGCGGATTAGTTCGGCGGCTAAGGCGCGGTTGAGTGTTTCGAGGGGGATTGAGGGGAGAGACGGGGAGGTGGCGGAAAGGTCTGGCGAGGTTTGCGAGCGAGTTGGGGGAGGTGGACGATGCTGAGCGGGTGTTTCGGATGGCGTGAGCGCGCCGTGGTAGGTCTGATGAGTTGGCCTGTTGTCCTGCTTTTGGTACATGCTTTGTTGCTCGTAGCCATGTGCGGGCGACACCTGCGTTGAGGCGGCGCTTATTGGGGAAGGCCCTAGGCCCGTGCCTGGCGAGTCGTTCTGTTCTCCGTTGACGAGTACTGTTGGTGTGACTAATCGCACTACCGGGTTTCCGACGTTTGGAGGGACTTGGAGGCTCAGGCGCTGCTTCTGCGGCGCACCACTCATGAGCTGGCCCTCCATCTTGGAAGGCGATATGGCAGACGCTGGTGTTGGCGGAAAGCGGAAGGAGTTCTCGGGTGCTGGAGGGTCAGAGTGCGCCCGCTCAACTATCGGTGTCAGATTGCCTGGAGTGCGGTCGATTGGCGGGCCTTCTTTGGTCTTTGGATTCGCTGGAAACGTGTTATACGGCCCATCTCGAAATGATCGATTGCTCGGCGGCCGGCCACGAAGCTTGCCGGTAGACGAGGTGTTGTTGGTCGACCATGCCGACGATACAGCGGGGCCGTGACGCCGGCGAGAGCGTGATCTCGCACTGGAAGGCGTGACAGCAGACTGGGGCTCATCGAAGAAGGGGTATGCGGATTGTGGTGTTACCGCAGAAAGTGGATGAGGGGTTTGAGGCGTGTCGTGAGGATTCAGTCGCCATCGTATGTGTTGTCCAGACATTGGCGAATCGGTATATGGTGTCAGGCTTTGGCCTAAACGACTTGGTGCTGAAGCTGCTGTTAAAGCCGACGAGGGTGTGACGGTTGAGACTGCAGTCCACGCTTCTTGAGGTGTGAGGAAGCCTCCGTGCATGTTGTGAGGATGGGCGCTAGTGGGGTACGCTGATTGGGGCTGCAGCACGTTGCCAAACGGTATTGACGTATCCAACTGCGGGCGCTTACGAGCCGGTGTGCCTTCGTCAAAGTCGATGTCGTCCTCTCCGTCATCAGCTTTCCGCCGCCCGCGCTTCGGTTTGAACTTGGGATCGAGAGCGCGGATAGCCAGATCTTCCTCCAGAGGTACGCCATCCCGCCCGTCAGCTGGAAAGGGGTTGTGAGGAGGAGGTATTTGCAGGAAGTAGGGGTGCTGCTTTCCCAGCAGATATTCGAAGAAGGCGTCGATGTGCATGGCGCGCATCCATCGCTGTGATGATTAGCAAAGGTCGGAATGACATATGAAATGACAAGTTATTGGGGGCCAGGTCGAAATGCGCGGCCCCTCTGACCTGCAGAGGCCACATCTTTGACCAAGTCGTGAGGAACAGTACATCGCAGATATCTCACATAGTGAGTGGCTCGGTTCGCACACTGCGCCGGATACCAAGTAGGTGGTTCGGATCACAATGAGGCGTTTGAGGCTGAAGTCGACTGCGCCGCACGACCCGGATGACATGCATGAGACGTTGTTGGAGCCCACTGGGCCAGAACTCGGAAAATGTGTAGAAAATGACTCGGCGATTGCCGGATATAAGAAATGTGAATGAATGCGAGGCTCTTACCTTTAGTCTGACTGAGTACTGCTGCACCTTCTGCGTGCTCTGTCCCTCGTCCGTGTTCGGCGGCTTGACGCCTAGGTCCAGCGCCAGTTGTGTCCATGTCTTGATTTCTTTGGCGTCCAGCTTGCGTATCAGCTCGAAGAGCGTCCATGTGTTGAATGCGTTGCCGTCGCTCTTGGGCGGCGTCCGGAACAGCTTGACTAGTTCGCTCGTGTCGATGGTGGTGGGGAAGTTGGGGTTGCAGTAGAGGATAAAGGTCGCGTAGGCGTCGTCGATGGTGTCGTCGGCGACATTGCGCGATGGCGTGTCGCGGTCGGCGGGCTCGTAGTGGGCAGATGGCTGGCGCGGCTGGCTGGTGGGCGATATGGCAGCGAAGCGCGGCGAGGCATGCGCAGACGCCGGGGGAGTCTGCGAGCTGCGCATGTCGGCGTAGAAGCCGTGGGCGAGGTTATGGGCATTGTCTGGCTGAAGTAGGTGACTGGACTGGGGAATGGGCGTGTGCACATTGCGGCTGGCACCTGTGCTCTGCTCCAGTCCCGGATCAATTGCTGCTACACCACCGCCGCCTGGATGCCGGAAGGGCGAGTAGGCGGGCCCGCTGCCAGGCCCCGCGTGTTCGTAGTGCTGGTGGGCGTTGGCTGTCAGGTGCAGGCTGTGCTCCGTCTCTCCCTCGTCGCCAAAGTCGACCTGCATGGTTCTCCACAGTGTAACGCGCTCTGCTGCTTCCTCGGCCCGTCAGCATGCCATGAGGGCGTCGAGATGATTCGCGGCCGCGCTAATGCCAATAGCAGGCCATGGATATAGAGCCAGTCCCGAGGTTTACTTCTTCTGGCCCCAAGGGAGTCCTCACGCAGCGCCTGCTGTCGCAGCGGAGCCGGCGAGTGCAGCGCGAAGAGGTCCAACGATAGGATGCGATGCGCCCAGCGCCGTCGCTCGGTCAGGGCAGTCGCGAGAGGGCGATTACGTCGTTTGCTGTGGCAGCGCGCTATGGAGTCGCGTCGTCGAGGGTCCAGCGGGTGGTAATTTGCGGTCGTTCAGGTGCTATGGCGGGTCGTGCCTGCCTGCTTCGGGGCATTTTGGTCAGTTATGCCAGCTGAGCGGTACCCCAGCATCGTCCGTCTATTCTTAGATCAGCCGACGCACCACTGCTCACCACACCCATGTCGCTGCACCATCCGAACCCCTACCACCGCTGCTCTGCATCCTGACTGGCTGCCTATTTACGCTCTACACTGAATATGCGACAATGCCTATCGAGTGGCAACCATCCCAAGCCCTTTTGGTCGTACCTGCCATTGTAACTGACGTACGCCGGCCGAACCTCGCTCTTGGAATATTGCCACTACACCGACTATGACCTTTCTGGGGCGGATACTCGTGTCGCGCCGCATGGAGTCTAAGACGGTATCATGGTGCGAACAAGAGCAAGGTAGGGTGGATGCAGAGATCGTGAGACGATCAGAGTCTTCTCCGCTGCGTCGTCGTCGAATGTGGCGCATACCGCTTGGGTCGAGTAGTGCAGTCAGGTATTCTTCGACTCAGTGAATTGAAGGCAGCAAGCAGGTCTGTGAAACCAGGACTATGACCGTTTTAGCAGTGACTCCTGCGCACTACGCACCGACACCGCTGACCACGCTTATCTGTGTTCATCCAGTCCCATTATCAACTTGAACCCATACGAGATACTCTCGACTCAACTCCACGCAGCTTCCGCCAAGATGAGTTTCTCCGCCCTTCCAACAGAGCTGCTCAGCATGATCTTTGATGAGATCCGAAGCAAAGAGGATATGCAAGCCGTTTCTCTCGTCTGCCACAAATGGCGCGTTAATCTTGCACCGCTGATGTGGTACACGTTGAACACCGATCTTCTGCTAAGCAAATCTCGGTCCATGAAAGCACTTGTCAATTCGCAGAGCATGATACTCCCTCATATCCGACGGATTGTCATAGCAACACCCCGACGAGTCGCGGGCGATTCGTTTGAAATGGACCAAATCGAGCACAAATTACGCCTCCTGTTAACGTCCCTGCCTCGCGACCAAATCACACACTTCATGACCAGCAGGTTGAGACCGAGCCGTCATACTATCCATATGCTTCTCAAATCCCAGCGGAAGCTCAAAGAATTGAACTTCCGCATCAGGCCCGACGAGGCCTTCGCGGGCAAGGGGCCTCTTCCTATCCGCACAACTGGTCCTTTGATGGAACCTCCACTAAAAGACCTCACTGGACTAGCTGTATATGTTCATTGCTATCCGACACTAGCGAAAAGCTCTTTTGAGTACTACCGCAAACTTCTCCCATACGTTCCCAAGCTGCAGACCTTGTCCATAGAGGGCACGCTCTTTGAGAATCGTCCACTCGACCGCCTGGACATGCATCACATCCTACAGCATGACATAAAAGAGCCCATTCTGACAAGTCTCACTACCCTCCGTCTGAAGCTTATCGACCTTGGAATGAGCCACAAGGTGATTTTCAGTAACATGAACTTTGCTAACCTTCGCACGTTGTCACTGATTGGCTGCAATGACATGGCTCCCTTCTTTGGTGGCCTCCTGGTACAACGCGCCAACAGTGACAGCAGCTATCTTTCCCGTCTTTCCGATCTAGAGATCTTCTTCCCTTCCAATTCACCCCATCCCTACACCGACATTCAGGCTGTCCAACGCTTCCTCGAGACTGGTCCTAAACTTGACAAGCTCATCTTGGACGTATCGCGTCATGCCTTGATAAACAAAGACGCTATCATCGCTCAGTCTAAGCTCAAGTCACTGGAACTGGGTACTGGTGAGGAGAGGGCAGGGCGTTCATATGCAGTGGAAGACGTCAAAGCGATTCTAGCCGCTTGTTCAGAGCTCGCAGACATCGCCATTAATCTCCCTGCAGTGAGCCTAGGATCCCTTATCGATCTAGCTCATGACTTCAGACTGGGAAGACCCCAAAACTGTCTCACACATGTAGAGACCGAGTTCGAAGCCATGCTCGTAAGTTCCAGACCCTACTTACTCCTCACCACTAGACCACCAGCTGACATCGACCCATCTAGACCGTACTCGCCCAGCACACCCCTCTTCACACCCTCCGCATATTGAACCTCCCAATTTTCGGAGAGATCGAAATAGCACACAAACCAGACTCGCTCAACGCTACCGAACGCCGATTAGCCCGCATCCTGTACCAGAATTATGTAACGGAGATCATGCGCTTCATGGCGAGATGCGGTACCGCACCCATTGTTTTCGACACCCGGCCTAGCATTACTTATCAAATCTTCGATGAGTGTGTATGGCCTGCTTATCTGTTCAACAAGGGAGATCTTTGTGATGCGACAGGGAAGAGGGAGGTGATGGCGGTGCATGTGGATAGATATCCGCAGGATGATAAAGAGTCGCTTGTGATGCGTATGGCGGGGTCGAGTATCTGATGTTTGGTAGAGGTGGGTGGCAGATACGGGGGAAATGAGAGACGCACAATATGGGAAGGAGCGAGCAAACCTTTGGATGTTCAGCGACACCAAGTTCCCGCCGCTTCACGTAACGCCGTTTGACGCACAAACATGCGTGATTCAACACATCGGTCCAGAGATCGCCATGCTGCCCAGATTCAACTCTACAATGTGCGTTCAATGATCTCGCTTTTGCCTTGTATCGCGCTAGCGCCTTGGCGCGACGGCCTTTGGTCTACGCATGTGCACGCTCTTGATGTCGATTTGACTTAACTCTTCCACCTTACTATTCTACAGTAATAGACTTCTCAATTGCAGCGCCCTCACGAGATCTGCCTACAGTCCAGAAATATCCGACGATAAGACTACCCCCCTGCTTGCATCCCGGGGTTGGTGGGGCAACACATTGACGCGTCGTCGCACGAGCCATGTTCATGTTCATGCTGAGCCGTCCACCCGCGACGCGCAAACTTCCCCCTTTCACTACCTACGATCGTAGCACTCCGCGCACTCACGATTCCACACCACTATGGCGAGCGCGACTTTCTCCGATCTACCAACTGAGCTGGTTGTCAATGTTTTCGCTTTCGTAAGTTCCGGGCATTACCGCTCTGCAAGCCAGAAAGCGCTAACACATATGTTAGATTCGGCAAAAGAAAGATCAAGGCGTTGTATGTCTCGTCAGCCGCTCATGGCGGGAGCTTATGGCCCCTATCTTGTGGGAAAAGCTTGAATTCAGCTTGGGTGATCACCAAGGCTCTTCCCCTGGCCGCTCTTTGACGACGTTATTAGATCATAACTCTGGGATCCTCCCACATGTACGAAATCTATGCTTTGCGGACTTTACGGATGAGGATGCGGAAAATCGTCTCGAGTCGTTGATCTTGGCACTTCCACGCGATAAACTCCGCATTTTCCAGGCCTATGGCGGCGACATGCAGCATGAGGTTTTCTTGCAATTGTTGCGATCGCAGACCAAGCTCGAGAAAATCTATGCAGTAACACCATCTCTCTGCCTTGGCTCGACGCGTGCCACACATATTGTTTCCCAGGAATCCCGCGCGAGGGTTGCATCGCTGACGCCTGAACTGGAGGAGATTACTCTCATTCTAGAGTGCACGAGGGAAGACAAGGTCGACGATGTCTACCGGGATCTGCAGAGCTTTATCGACCTCTACCCGAGTCTCGAAAGGCTGGAATTGTCAGGCGAACATGAAGATCCGATCTCATTACAAGGACTGCTCTGGCTATCGCCGGAAAGTCGCCTATTCTCCAATCTAACGTCTATCAAAATGGAGGCAATGAGCTTGGTACCGGATGCTTCATATCAGTTCTCCCACAACTTCGACGTTGCAAGGTTAGAGAAGTTGCATCTCAAGGACTGCAGCTCGATGTCGCTGTTCTTCGAGAGTCTCTCAGAATCGTACATTGAGACACCCGGTAAATTAAGGGAGTTGTGCATCGATCTACCTGGTCCTGATCCCTACCATGACGATGGTGAACACGATGTACAGGTCAAGACCACAGAATCCATTGAAAACTTTCTCAAAGTCTGCCCTAGACTTGAGAATCTTGACTTAAATCTTCGCAATGGCAAACTTGTCGACAAAAGTTGTCTTCTGCCTCACGCTGAAACGCTCCGTAACCTCGTCATCAAGAAAGCCCGAAACGAAAGTACGGATTCTCAGTCGCACTACTACTCGGAAGACGAAGTAGGGGTAATTTTGAGGGCGTGCACAAAGCTCAGAGGACTGGCCATCAATCTGCCACCTAGCGATCGCGGATATATCACACAGGTCGGGGACGGATTTCGATTCAACGCAAATGAGTAGGATTGTGCCTCTTTCAAAGATGTACTAGTAAGTAATGTCCTTTTTGTATTGGTATCTTTATTGATTGGCATCGTAGGAACAATGTGCCGCACATCCCAGTCTTCATACCATGGAAATACTGAGCGAGCCTGATATCACATTTTCTTATGATTCGGAGACATTTGAAGAGACGCCTTTGATGGAGGAACGCAGCTTCCGTGCGTCGTGCGAGGCTGCCATGAAACACTTCGGCGATCAGATCTTCAGTCACATGTCGCAGTGTGGTACAGTCCCAAGACTCCTCCTAGTCGAATCCTTTGACACTCGTGATTTTGAAGAAGGTATGCCGATGGGAACTTGTTCTTTCCCGGGTCGGTTTACCTTCACGCGCGGAAATGTTCCAGATAGTTCGGGCAGCAATCTAGTAGGTGCAGCGCGCGTTGAGATGGAGAAGATATCGAGGAACTACCCTGGCGACTTCATCCTCAGGCGCTTCTCTAGCTAATGTCTATCATGAGTTCATAAGCTGTATTGTATCTCGTAGTATGCAAATCAAGAGGGTAAAGTAATGCTTCAGCGTGTACCACATCGGAGTAACACCTAGTATGCGCTCCATTGTAGCCTGGTGAAGGACTCTGTTCACGCCTACAAGTCTTGGCAGTATGCAGGAGCTGCGCATTTTTCCTACTTTTCTCGCGACACACCTTTCTTACTTCTCATCGAGGCTGCTACTACGTCAACTGCTTCTGCATCTGCTCCCGACGAACTCCACGTCCAGCCATGACGCAAAGAAACCTCTCTGATTTACCGCCCGAATTCGTTGCATTTCGAAAGGGATTCTGGGTATCAGGGTTGTGCTGACAAGGACATGCAGGTGCGAAAGAAGGCCGATCAAGGCGTTGTGAGCTTCGTCGACCGCCCATGTCGCACGGTAAGGCAGATCTCAGAGCCACACATACACGTTCCAATGAGCTATAATCTTTTTTCTGCTAAGCGCCGTGTAGTATTAAGAGCAGCTGGATCTCTGGACGAAGTGCCCAAGTATTCAGTGAACGTGAGTGTCATCTGGCGCTTCTGTCGCTGCCTGTACAGAATCTTCGTCCTCTTCATCACTATACACCTCGAGCGCCGCTTGAAATGCCTCTCGGTCCCAGGCCCGTCCCTGCCCGTCTCCCGGCCACCCAGCTCTTCTCATTTTGCGCACAAGCGACTTGAACTCGTCGTCCGCGTCATCAAGCTCCCAGTATATCGGTACCGCCTCAATAATATCCGTCTGGAGACCGATCCAGCGAAGCTCGTGGAACCGTTGTTTGCAGAGCGCAAAAAACTCGCGTGGGCGATAGACGTTGAAGCCCTGTCGCCAACGCTCGTTCTCGTCCCCGGTATAGCGCTCTTGCACCACGGCATTGAGCTCTGGCGCTGGCTCATCGTGCTGGCCGTTAGGATCCCCCCAGTAGACGTACCCATCAGCCGTGTTAATGACGAGATTGTAGCCATTACGCCCGTTGCTGTTACCGAAAGAGATGCATGATGGCGGTAAGGGATCGCCTATAGGTTCAACGTAGTATTCGAGATCCCCGTCGCGGATCCGTTTCTGCATCGCATCGCTGCGGTAATCCTGGATTCGTGTGTTCTTCATGATGACGTGCTTACCGTAGGCTTTGTCTGGATCAACAAAGTCTACATAAGGCATGTGGCGAAGTAGGTCGATGACTGCATCAGTCTTGTTTAGGTTGGCCATGGTGGATTGTGTGATTGATGGCCAGCCATTCTTGGGAGCTTGTGCGATGATCGAGTCATCCCAGAATACTCGATTGCAGAACTCGTAGTAGTCTGTCAGAAGGGTGATGAATTCGACTTGATCAAAGGGCATGGTCGCACGTTAAACTTGGGGCCTAAGAAGAAACTGAACACCCTGGAGCCCACGTTGATGTTAGGTCATCTATTTTGCAAGTTGTTAACTCAACGTAGTCTGCAAACTAATCGAGTTTCTTTCTAGCATGAGGTGGTAGGAGGAAGTGGAAAAGAACACTATTCTAACATGGTGGGGCGTGGATACGGTGGATTACCTATGCTGACGGTTAAATAGGGCCTTCAAACGTCATCACGCGCCGACGCCGACGTCGACGCCGACGTACCCTGTTTCTGAACAATCTTCCAGAAAATTATGCGTCTGGCGAACCTCCTTCCCCCCAAAGCGCGATGTGTATGGGACATGCATCCTCTTCCTTTTTCTTGTTCTCGCCCTCTTTGCCCTCTTCGCTCTCGCCGGCCTCGATGTTCTTGATAGTCAAAACATCATCGCTTTGTCCAACTTCTGGCTCTTTCTTTTCGTAGAAGGTGAAGTTATCCCCTGGTGCACAGCCGATCAGCAGAGTGGAGGCACTGCTGTCTTCGTCATCGTCGTCGTATGGTGGGATCCCGAATCGCATACGCTTGATGAACTCCCGGGCAGGTAGCCGTGTCGCCTGTTGTCGTTTCAGCGCCACGCTATCGACGTGAGCAGGACTGGATACGGTAAATTAGAGAGCGAAGCTCAAGAGAATGTTGAGGTTCCATAAACGGTGAGGTATGCGGTTGGAAGGTGCGACGGGGCACTGCTCGCGAATACTGTCATCACAACATATTAGGGAAGACAAGACCAGGCACGAGAAGAACCACTGTACAGATACTGAGTACGAACGTGAAGGTTGCTCATACTCGGTGCATAATGGCTTTGCTCATCTAGTATATGGCGCACAAAGGCCCCGCGCCGACGGTACTGAGGATGGATAGCTAAGACAAGAGGATGCAGTGAATACCTCCAGGTTGCAGCGGACTAAGGCATGGCTGAGTAAAATTGCGCTCTTTCTTGTGCCCGTCCGCGGCAATAGACCCTGATCGCGTCCACAAGTCTTGGCGTTGCATGAGCAAACACCGCACGAGCCACGCGCCTTTGCCTCGATTGCTCTCACTCCACTCTCTAGTCAATTTGCTCCTACTCTTATTTACAGTTGCGCAACCGCTCTACTGGATCTCAAATCTCTACACTCACTCAACATGGCGCATGCAACTTTTGCCAAATTGCCGCCCGAAATGGTGGGCAATGTGTTCGCTTTCGTGAGTGATAGCAACTTTTACACTTATGGAGAGCGCTAACAACCCACGCAGATCCGATCGAAGTCTGACCAGAGTACCGTCTGTCTTGTCAGCCGCGCTTGCAGAGACGTGATGGTATCCACAATGTGGGAAACGCTTGAGATTAAGTTAAGCACCGCTTCTCCGAGTGCTCTGGCAACACTAGTCCATCCTCGCTCAGGAATTACAGAGCACATTCGAGAGATTAAAGTACTTGACTCAGGAACACTTGAATCAGACGAATCATCTGAGATAGAAGATCGCCTGAAGTCACTGATATTAGCGATTCCACAGGATCGACTTCGGGCTCTCACGTGCTATGTCCATCTCAGCACACCCACGGTACAACTGCTCTTGCAGTCTCAACAGAAGATTGAGACACTGGAGGTCTCTACTCCCTTCACCATCTCCGGGCTCCCAGAGCTGCCTGATTTCGCCTTCGAAGAACACTATGCATGGTCAACTTCCTCATTATCACATGTAACGGAAATGTTGCTTTACATTGTCCCAAACAGCGTATCAGAAAAGCGCATCTTCGAGGCCATACACTTCCTCTCTAAAAACCATTCAAAGATGCAGGATCTCCTCCTCTATTCACTAGCCTCGACAAAGACTGGTATGATCTCCTTATGCAGGATACTTCGTCATGCAAAAGGGCTTCCACTCTTCGCAAACCTTACAAGCCTACGACTTTTCAACCTAAGGCTTGCGAAAAGAGGAGACCCAGCAATCTCGAACAGTCTTGATCTCTCCAAGCTGTCTTGTCTACAGTTGCAAGGGTGCGACGACATCGTACCCTTCATAGAGTCACTGTCCTCATACTATGCTCGCGGCATTGGCGAACTGACATGGCTCTATATCATTCTTCCAGACCAGATCAAAGATCCACAAAGTTCAGTCCAGGCCATAGAATCACTGCTCAAGGTTTGCTCCAAACTCATAGAGCTTCAGCTGGAGCTCTCTGGACATGGCTTCGTTGCCAAAGAATGCATCTTGGCACATTGTCAGAAGCTCCAGTGTCTCTCGATAGGTACCGGGGGATCGCAAAGCCGTTATTTTTCTGTCATGGAGATGACGGCTATATTAAGGGCTTGTATTCATCTAAAGTACTTGGCCATCAACATGCCAGTTGTGGATCTGGGGTCTATCACAGAGCTCGGGACTGGCTTCCACCCAGAAGGAGAATTCGCGGATATGCTGGTAAGTGTGGTGCCGCATCATACGATTCTTGTTCACTAACAAAATGCCAGGCTGCACTCTCCATAAACCCTACACTCCACGCGTTCCGTATCCTCAATCTTCCCACGGTCAATTATAACGAAGATGGCGCAACGGTACCTGGAAAGACACAAGTCTACTTCTGCCAGATACTCATGCAGAACTTTGCCAATAAGATCTTCCAATTCATGGCAAACCGAGGATCTAATCTACGAGTTCTCGCCATCAGGCCTAGCTCAAAAGATGTTCGAGATGCTGGGAAGGACTTGGGCATTGACGCTAATGGCCACCAATGGCCCGATTATCACTACGCTCGAGGTCGGCTCACGGAAGTCACGGGCATGATTGGAGTGGTTGCGCATCCTTTGAGGAACGTTCTACAGGACTTTCCTGATTTGGTGTCGTTGTTTAATTGAGACTGAGAAGACAAATACTAGAGTGGGAAAACAAGGGCGCGAAAAGGTGGCAGGCCAGGAAACATATAGCATCATCGCGACCCTATCACAAGTCTTCAATCTCTCAATAAACACCTTTGACCCAAACCAGCTCCACCTCTCACACCCCAAACCCATCAAGCGGCGACTCCGTACTCTCAATCACAGCCGGATACACGACACCGCCCTGCCTCCTAACCTGATCCATAACCCGCATCACCACCTCCGTCTCCTCCAGTCCACAAACCTCGCTCTCCAGCTTCCCATCGCGAATACACCTCGCACACTCATCCGCCTCCCAAAACATACCATGCCCACCCCCCGGTATCTCCTTGAACTTATCAACAACCTGATACTCAAAGTCCGCGAGTTTTCCTCTCTTCTCATTAGCAGCGGGCGTTAACGTGTATGTCCGTGGCTTCGGCGCGTAATCCACCGTCAAGTCGCCCAAGGTCCCTTGTATCCTCACCGCATCACCCCCCGGATTAGGATATTCCGCATTCGGCGTGGTAGCAACAATAATACTCGTCCCCGCCACGCCCTGCGCCCCCGACCCCGGAAAACACAACAACACAGTCGTCGTCTCATCAACGCCCGTCTTACACTTACTAACCGCCGAACTCACAACCAGCTCTTCCCTCTCCCCCTCCGGTTGCACATGATACAACGCCATAAACAACCACGTTAGGCTATAAATCCCCAAATCCAGTAACGCGCCGCCCGCGAGATCGGGGTTCACCATCCTATGCTGCGTGCCAAACTCCTTTTCCACATCATTCCAGAAACTGAAGTCGGCGAAGACGCGCTTTATCTCCCCAAGTTTACCTTCTTTAACAATGGAGCAGACTTCCCGTGACAAGGGGAAGAAACGCGTCCACACGGCTTCCATCATGAACCTCCCCTTCTCTCTCGCTAATTTCCTTAGTTCCTGGCATTGCGCCGCGTTCACAGTGATAGGTTTCTCAACCAACAAATGCTTCCCCGCGTTGAGACAGAGGCGGGCAAGTTGGTAGTGGTGGGAGTGGGGCGTGGCGATGTAGATGATGTCGATGTTTGGGTCGGAGGCGAGGTCGGTGTAGGAGCCGTAGGCGCGTGCTGTGGGGGGTGCGCCGACGGATGTAAGAAATTCCTTGGCACGAGTTGCTGACGTGGAAGATGCTGCTGCTGCGACGACGTGGCGGATATCGGATGCATCACGGGTTTGGGGAGAGATGAGGAGGTCTTTTGTGAATGCTGGAGTGGTGTTAGGATGGGCTGGAGGAGGAAGATGGTGGGGGGTTACTTGTTGCTATACCTCCCGTCGCTACGATCAATTAGCCTTCTCTCATCGTGTGTAATCAGGCTTGGTTGTGCGTACCCAAGATACCCCACCTTAGCGTGAACGGCTCCGAACTCATGTTTGCGAAGTTGTGTTATCCCGGTCTCGAGACAAAAGAGGGAGACAGAGATGAGATGGTGAATACTTCTTTTATACCTCCATCGCTATAAACACAGCCCGATGCTACATGTCTCATGCGCCCTAGGGCACATTTATGCTGCAGGTACATCTGTGAGATGCAATAGTAGGGCGTTAACAACCTCTCGATTAGAGTACCCCGCAGCGGGCGGTTGCACGTCAGAGGGCCTGATGACGCGGGAAGCGGAGAGACGGGATGCTATCCGCCTTGTCTTTCGATAGCATCGCCAAATCAGATGATGAAAAAGATCTTTTTGGTCATGTTATAAGCGGTGAAGATTCCCTTTCCTTCACATACGACCATAGGACAATGAGAATTAGGCTTCCCGTCCGCTCAGCCATATACAAGCATTGTACCGGCGGATTAGTAGTTAGGTGGGTGACTACTAGCGAATCCCCGCTGTTGTATGTTTTTGCTAAAAAGTCCGTCTTTTTTGCATCGTCATGTTGTAGGCGCATCGAATTGCTGTACACTATGAGCATGGCATTCCAATTCAATAATAGTGATGCGTTGAATTCCGGGTATATACATTTTGAAGCCTCGTGGTCCCTCCACGTACCGTGATAACAATGCTCCAGCAAGAGTTCATAGCTCACTATAATCCTCCACCGTCCTCCGCAGTGTCGACTTCCTTTTACGGGTCGCGACTCGACCCGATATATAGCTTCGACTGCGACGGCAACCACTTTCCATATGCACCTTTTCGAAGAACACCCTAGACCTTGCGCATGGCAAGCTTCTTGCGTGCCTGGATCGTGTAGGCGTAGAGAGCGTCCTTGAAAGCGAAGAGGAAGGCGGCGGTGATGACACTCTGGGTGACCTTGGGTCCGATACCTAGCATGGGTTAGCTCATCTTCTCTCCTCCTTCGAATGCTTCTCCACATACCTCCATACAGGCCAGTGTATCCCTCCTCCCTGATGATGCGTCTGAAGGTGGTCAACATGTCCTCCCTCGGTCCATCCCTGCCCGCAACGTGCATCCTGCTCTTGACAGTAATGTACGGGTAGGTGATGCTGGTAGCCAACAGCTTGCCCAGCGCACCAAGGTAGAAGGCATCCTTGGGCGTGACCCTCCTCCGCTTCTCCAGCATCTGCTTCAGCTGCTCGAACACGGTGTATTGCAGAATGGGGTTGATGACCAAGACCAACGCCGGCATGACACCAGCGAACAGGCGCGCGGGGCCCTCATCGCGGACAAGGGCGAAGAGCGTGCCAAGCGTCGATGGCGCCTTCTGTGCGGGCGTAGGTGCGCCCGGGAGCGACTCGTCGGAGGCTTCGGATTTGCGCGTCGTCATGCGCGTGTTGACGACCCAGATGGGGTTGGTCATGAGGACGGTTGCGCTGCCGGCGAGGGCGCCTGCCATCATGGACTCGACCGTGGTGAGCTTTGAGGAGGCGCGACCGGCTTTGAGCGCAGCCTTCTCGAAGAAGGAGCGGGTCCATTCGTACCCTGATGCCGTCAGTACTCTGATGTATCGCTCAGGAGTGTTTTGTCGTACAGTAGTAATATACGAAGTTTGTGACGCTGATGCCGAAGAGGGCAGAGTCGAGACCGGCGTAGAGGCCTGCGACACCCTCGCGCTTGATGATGCGGCGCGCGGCATTGAGCGTCGATGACTGCGCGCGCTTGGATTCGACCTGGGCGCGGGTAGAGAGGGTGATGAGCGGGTAGCTGGGGGTTGTTAGCAGCCCGCATCGCATTGTCGCGATGGCGCATACGTCAGGGCCATGGACAGCAGTCCTCCACCAGCGCCAGCCAGCGCATGCGCAACATTGTCGCTCTGCTGAGCCGCCGTGCTCTGTGGCACCGAGGAAGTCGACTCGATGAGCTTCTCCTGCGCCTTTTCCTGTGTTTGAGACATGGTCGAGTGTAAAGTTTAGTCGCGCGGGAGCTGAAGAGGGGAAGCGGGCGGTTGTCGCGACGGGAGGAAGGAGCAGCCGGTAAGCCGATGGGATTGGGAAGGTTAGGATAAACAATGAAGGAGAGGGTATCAAAAGGGAAGCAGCTTCAAGTCTCGTTGGATGGTCTTCGTCTCCGCATTTGAGCTGCGGCTCCGGCTGGCTTGTGAACGTCACCAAGCATTTCCGGGGTAAGACGTACAACCGAGGCAACAACTTCCCCCGATCTAGTCGCATGCGGTAATCCTCTCCAAACTACCAACATGTGCAATCTCCTCGCTTCATGCACTGCACTACAAACATATAATCATCACTCTTGATTGGCCGTCGCTACTGGATTGTTCTGCAACTACCTCCCGTATATCCTCCTCTCTGCTACCCGAAACGGTACATAGAGCACCGCTGCCAGCACAACTGCTACCTCCAACCCGATGTCGCCCGTAGTCTCCGCGATGGGTCCTGTCCACCAGATCTGTCCCATGCACGGGATGATGAGGCCAAAGGAGAGCAGGAACGCGCCAATTGCCGCGAGACCGGGTGGCAGCTTGCTCGGCTCGTCCCACGCCTCGTCATCCTCGGTATAGGCCATGAAGCTACTGCGTCGGAACAGCACGTGTTCGGTGATAGCGATGCCAATGAAGGCCGCACTCCAGTACCCGATGACGCCGATAAAGTTCTCGAGGTTGAGAAAGAAACTCTCGGATGCCTCGACAGCAACGCCAATCACAATCCCAGTAATGACGATGCTGAAGAAGATGCGCGGAATGCGAAAAAGCCAGGGAAGAAGCATCTGCAGGTTTAGTGTTACGCTGTACATCGTTGCCGACAGGTTACCCAACATGCTAAAGGCAAGCACGACTGTGACGAAGCGACCGAATCCGCCAGCTGGCTGAAGCATGGCTGCAAGGACACCACTCGCTGCGTTGACGTCGTACCCAGCCTGCCATGAGGCAATGTTTGGCGTCGCACCTCCCATCGCTGCACCGAGCGTCATCAGCAGAATCGTAGGCAGCGCAAGACCGGTGTAGGTGTAGAGTGCGATCCGGAAGGGAGGAGCCTTGGGATGCATATATGTCGAGAAGTCGCTCGCGAGGGCAGCCCATGGAAGCATGAAGCTCGCCACGAGACCGCCAAACGAGAGGACCTGTGACGCTGTAGCAGCAGGTGCTGCGACTTGCTGGCTGAGACTGCTACCCCCGCATCCTGCCGCAATGATGAGTGCGGCCAATGCTGGGATCCATGCCCAGCGCTCGTAGTGATGCAATACTCCGAAGCCGCAGAAGGAGATGACCAGCGACAATATGGCGATGATGACGATACCCACCGTGGCGTTGATGGTTGCTCCGTCCTGCACCGCCGACAGTGCCATACCACCAATGACGCTGTCGACAACGCAGAACCCCGTCAGCGTTGCAAGGTTGAGCAATATCAACAGAGAAACAAAGTACTTCCCGAAGGAAAACCTCGCCTGCACCAACTGTCGCATACCCGTCTTCGGCCCCCACGTACACATGTACGCCACCGGCACTGTCGACACGAGGGTAAAGAAAAGAATAACCAGCGCCGCGTCCCTCAGACTAAGAGCAAAAGACATTGTGCCCACCATGCCAAAAGTCACACTGCATACCCGTTAGCCATCATGCAAGGCCACCACTCCTCAAGTGACCACTTACGGCAACGGATTACAACTCATGCAAAACCAAAGCGTGAAGATCTTTGAATACTGCGTCTCTGTCCTATCCTCATACGGCACAGGCGTACACCCTCTGAGCTCAACATCACCTTTCTTTTCCAGAAAACTCAGCACCCCTCTCCACCCTCCAACTCTTTCGTGCTTGCCCACCGTGACATCGCCATGTTGCTGCTCCACTCCCACGACCTCCCCAACCGAGAGATTGGGCCGCTTGATGTCTTCCTGTTCCCGCGAAGGAGCACCACTCCCCACCCTGCTACTGCCTACACCTCCATTCGGGGCGTCTGCCATCTCTTTTCCCGGACGTGTTGGTCTCTTGGCTCGCAGCAACCGTTTTCGCCGCTCCACCCCGAGATATTGCGCGTGTAAAGTTTGTCAGTCGTGCGTAAGGGACCCGAGATGATGGTACAGACGCCGTTGACGACCCACTCGCTATGTCCGTCTACGGCTTGCAATGCGAAGTAATAGTGTGAAACTGGCTCAGTCGTGTGATGCGATAAGGCCCGGCGCGACTATATACCTGAATCATTTGCTCCACCCAGTACAACGTCGTTATGACTCTTTGCTTACCCCATAGTGGCGGGCTTGCGACTATCGCGAACAGAGATTTTTTGCAAACACGACATTTCTGGTTCGCGCATCCTGTGCCCGGCAAGGCTAGATGCGCACCCGTTCGGCACCGAGCGCTGCAAAATCGTTTCAATGCACGAATGCACGCATCCCACAACAAAGGGTCCATGACGATCTGGCCCACCTCGCGCGCTGCTAAGCCGACAACCGCATGATAGCCGTCTAATAACCGCGCCTTTGAGTGTCTGCAGCCGTAGCTTCAGGATGCTACTCCGACCATGACGGAGGTGGATGTGCGATGCGTATGCCGTGGTGTGCATGAGGTCTTGTCGGCTGCATGCTTGCTGCGCTGCGCAATGGCCTGATTATAGACGCGCTTGCCGACTTCTCGCCGGTCTGCCGGACCTTCCCCATGGTCTTGACCGAGATGGGCGACACTCGTCCAACCACACTGCGTGCGGTGCTTGATACTCCGACGAGGGCGTGTAGCGTCCTCGGGGAGAGTGATGTTAGTTATCATGGGCGTTGAGCGCTGCGGCGTCGCCTTGCATGAGGCTGTCCCTCTTCGCTCATCTCCTTCTGCTGCGCTCATATTTGGAATCTGGTTATGGCTGCCGACCAAGAGAACAAGCGTGAACCTATACCGGTCGACGAGGCTGCTGTTGCACCTGAGCTGCCGGTGGAAGGTGAAGTCGAAGTCCCATATAGTATATACACCAGCAAAGAGAAATGGCTCATCGTAGCCATGGTCGCGTTGGCGGGGTTTTATAGGTACATTCTTTCCTTTCATCTCATCTCAAGATACACACATGGAACAACAACTAACACCACCTCAGCCCCCTCCCCGCAAACATCTACTTCCCAGCCATCCCAACCCTCGCCCGCGCCTTCAACCAAACCTCCGAAGCCATCAACCAAACCGTCACCGTGTACCTAGTCTTCCAAGGAATCAGCCCTATGCTATGGGGCCCCATCAGTGACCGCTACGGCCGCCGCCTCGTCTACCTGGTATGTCTTAGCATCCTCGTCGCCTCGTCCATCGGCCTAGCCCTCTGTCCAACCAGCCACTTCTGGCTGCTCCTCTTCCTGCGCTGCTTCCAGTCCGGCGGCAGCGCCAGCACCATCGCCCTTGGCGCAGGCGTCATAGGCGATATATCCACGAGCCGCGAAAGAGGCGGCTACTTTGGCATGTTCAACCTCGGTCCTATGCTCGCTCCGTGTATCGCACCTGCGATTGGAGGAGCGCTCTCGCAGGGTCTAGGTTGGCGATCCATCTTCTGGTCCATCGTCATCATGGTGGCGGTTTGCCTGCTATGCATCGCGCTTTTCCTCCCTGAGACCCTGAGAAGCATTGCGGGTAATGGTAGTATCCCTGTGCCCCGCCTTCAACGCGCTATCCTCCCTATCGTGGGCCAAAAAGCAACGAAAGAAGCCTTCGACCCGGATTCCCGCGCTAAGGCTAAACACTCTGTTAATCCCTTTGTGCTCTTTACGTACCCTGATGTCATCGTCCTGTTGACTTTTACCGGGCTGGTCTACGCCGTCAATTACACAATCACCGCCACCATTTCCTCCGCTTTCGCGAAGATATACCCGGAGCTATCGGAGACGGTGCTGGGACTTTGCTACCTTCCCGTCGGCGCGGGTATGATTCTAGGTTCTACGATGACGGGCAAGATGTTGGATTGGGAGTACAGACGTATTAAAGAGCGGTGTGGTGATAACTTCACCATCGAACACGCCCGGTTACGCATAATGCCCTTCTACCTCTCCCTCTTCATCGTCTGCGTCATTGCCTGGGGTTGGACGATACAGGCTAAAGCTCATATCGCTGTTCCCCTCATTCTTGGAGTTATGCTAGGCTGGACGTCCATCGGTATCCTCAACACTACCATGACACTCAACATCGATATCCTGCAATCCCGCAGCTCAGGCGCGACGGCGTGCACGAATTTGGTGCGCTGCTCGCTGGCTGCTATCCTGGTGTCTATCATCGATCGCATGGCGAGTGCGTGGGGCGATGGCTGGACATATACGTTTTGGGGCGGTATATGTTGTTTGTTGATGCCGCTTATGTTGCTGGAGATCAAGATGGGGCCGGTGTGGCGGAGGAGGCGCGAAGCCAAGGAATTGGAAGATGAGAAGGCATGATCTGGTTGTTGGGGAGGGATTGAAAGAGATTGAGCAACGGATTTTGGTTGGAGAAAAGCATTATACCCTTTCGTTGAAAGTTAGCATAGCGTTGGATAGTATCGCTGAGAATCGCATTTCTTTGCAGATTCATCACGTGTTTTCGTTGCCAGTGATCAGGGTGAGTGAAATATCTTTTGGTCCTGTGCAAGAAGGGATTAGCTAGACTACCAAGACCTCACTCCACCATTTTCAAGCTCTGTCCTCTTTCCTCGTATCACCATACCACTCCTTTCGATCAAATCCACAAGATCCTCACACCTCTCATCTCCCCACCGTAATCCCCCCACCACACCATCCTAACCCCCCCTCGTAGGCACAGGTTCCTCCGAAGCCAACGGCTCCTTTGAAACACCATCCTCCACACCATCCTCCACACCATCCACCCTCCCAAACAGTTTGTTGCAGTAGTGACCAGAACGACAAGCAGGTCCGCAAGTACCCGGTGGGCAGCCATAATCCGCTGCCGTTACCACGGGAGGAAGGGAAGCAGAAATTTCGTCGGGGATGTGACGGGCATTGATGTCGACGGTGTTGGTGAGAGTGTTGGTGAGGGTGACGACGTAGACTGGGTTCGTTGGGTTTGTTGGTTCAGCTTCTTGATGGGCCGTGGTATCAGTGGCAGTGACGACGTAGACTGGATCATTCGGTTCAGCCTCTTGACTTGGATTGACAGCGTCGGTGTTGGTGGCCGTGACGACGTAGACTGGGTCAGTCGGTTCGTTTTCTTGATGGGCGGTGGTAGCGATAGTATCTGTGACCGTGACCACGTAGACTGGGTCCGTCGGCTCAGCCTCTTGACGTTCATTGATATCATGGGTTTTGGTAACAGTGATGACTACAATTGGGTCAATAGGTCCAGCTTCTTTAGTGTTCGTGTTCGTCATGACCTCGACTAAATCAGTCGGTCCAGCTTCTTGACGAGCGGTTACACGCTTAACGTGGGTGACCGTGACAACGTAGACTGGCTTCCCACCCGCTTCAGCCTCTTGACGAGCGTAAATATCTCTGGTAGCCGTAGCCGTCGGGGTGCTTGAAACATGACTTGCGAAAGGGCAGTCAGGCCCAACCCAACCTGACGGACAAGACTTCGTAGGCTTTGGCGGTGAGACGACAACGCTGCAGTCGCTTCCCACATGGCCCGGAGAACATGTCGATGTCGGTAACGCCTGACGAGCGACTAGGCGCTGAGACCGGCCTCCGAGATCTTCAGACGCGACTCTAGGCGCATGAGTGGCGTTCGCCTGCCTCGCGACCCACCTCTGAGACCGTCCACCGCCGTAGTCCGGGGGGAAGATAGTGCTAGTCGCCATGGGCCAGCAAAAATGTATATCAGGATTATCGTCCCGCGTAAAAGCAGAAGAATGACATCCACATTCGTACGAGGTAGAGCAAGTAGGTTTAGACTTATCCGGTCCGCATTGAATATGCGTAGAGATCGCAGTCGCATAAGTCTTGGAGTCCCAAGAGGTGATTTCAGTGCAAGTCGCAGTAGTTGGCAGGGCCTGGCGACGCTGAGCGGTGACGCTCATCCGGGTCGGCTTGACCGAATCATCGAAACCCTCGGAGGGCTTAGGGATCTCGGAGTCCCCGAAGGTCTTAGTCTTGGAAGGCTTGGGCGGCTTGTGCGTCTTGATGGACTTGGAGGTGTGGACGCTGGCTCGGGTGTGGGACTCGACTACGGTGAGCTGGCGGCGGTGCGCGGTGATGGTGCGGGTGAGCTCAGTGGAGTCGGTGGTTTCCTTGGAGGTGTAGGCGTTGGAGCGGGCTGGTGGAGTGCGTACTGTGGTGCAGTACTTGGGGTTGTTGCACGGCCTTGTTGTTAGGGTGGTCTCGCTGCCTTGGCTCATGGCGAAGCCGATAAAGCCCAGAGCGGTGACGCAGAGTGTGGTGAACTTCATTTTGGCTGTGATGGAGTTAGTATGGAGACAGTGAGATGTGTAGGGACTTTGTGGGTTACCTGAAGTTGATGATGTTGGGGGAAGGAAAGAAGAGTGGGTAGAGAGTGGAGGGTAGAAGGAGAGGAGCAGTAAAAGAGGTTTATATACACCTTCACTGCAATACAGACACGATAGTCTGATGGAGACACTGCTCGGTCGGTACTCACCTCCGTTGGTGAGGATTACGTTTGTGGTGATACGGCGGTAAGAGACGTGAGTGGTCCGCAGACGCGATGGGGCGGGGACGCCGGAGTTCGGGGTGAACCGTTTGCTGAGAGATTAGTGAGTAATCGAGCACGAAACACCTGCGACCTAATAATATGCCCGATTTACCATGAGCGCGCTCATTTCACCGCGTACGATGACAAGACGATGAGTATCAAATAGATCAATAATAGAGTAAGTAGGTTGGAGAGTAGGACAATGTCTGACTGTACTCGAGATAATAATAATGCAATACTACTCAGACTCCGAAGCGCGCAACTCTACCTGTATATCCGTGTAATAAATATGCCCCGTCTATATCAAAAGACCCTGTGTAAAGTTCTCCAGTGCAGCCCGATACTGCTGACTATACTCGATGATAATCTGCTGCTGGTACCAGCTATGTCGCGCATTGTGGTCGGCCACAAGATTATGCGCAAGCTCGTGACAGTACGTGCAGAACCAACTGTCCAGAGCTGTGAGCTTCCCTTCTTTAGTCTGGCATCCGTCGCTATGCAGGGCGATAAACCAAGCGAGGTTGAAGAACAGACTGCCATTCATGTTGAACGCCACCGTGTTAGACTTCTTGTCGAGGAAGATATTTACCGCCGCAGGGTTGACGCTGAAGATTGATGTGAGGCCAAAGATGAGCGGTAGGAATTTTTGGAGGTGAGATTGCAGGTCGGTGAGCGGCGCCGTCTCGTCGCGGCCATAGTAGATGTCAACGTGACGGCCAGAGAAAGGCACCGAAAACGCTTTGTGCAGGTTCTCCCATTGTTCGCCGGTACAGTAACCTCCACGGTCGAGTTCTGTCGGGTCCTGGTGATGTTTGGTGTTGATGTTTTCCATACCAGTGGGCCGACATTCCTTGATAGCATTCTGAATGTTCGACTTCGTGGCTTGGATGTCGCGACTGATCTGAGGGCCGTCTGTACCCTTGGAGGAGGAGGAAGCTGCGCTAGGCGCGTTCTTGAAACCGAGCTTCTTCGCCCAGTTGTTGATGAGACCCTGCTCCTCTGGTTGACGGCCGTGATTGGCGATCTCCATGCCACCCTCTGGACTGCCAAATGCACCAGGCATATGCTTGCCTTTCTCGGGGGTCTCAGGTGGAATGTTCTCTCTTTCTTCAGACTTGACGTGACCAGACTTGGCTTGTTCGGCAACTCGCTGCTGTTCCTCTTCTTCGCGCTCTTGCTCGGCTTGCTTGGCGATACGCGCTTCATGCTCTTTCTTTCGCAGGATGCGCTCGACGTTGATACCCTTTTGCTGGAGTCGGCGTAGAGGCTCAGTCAAGATGCGCTCTAGCGCGATGGCGTCGTTGCGCTTCGGCCGCGATACAAGTAACCTTACCAGTTCGCTTGACACCTCGTAGAGATCGTATTTCGGCGTGATGCTAAGCACGTATCCCGTACCACGCACCTTGATGATGACAGCCGATTTACGTGAGGATGTTGCGACATTGCGTTCCGCTAGTGAATAACGGATGGAGATATCCGACACACATTGCACCGTCAGATTAGAACCCAGCCACTTGGCGTCATGTCTGATAGCCTTTGAAGAAGCATCGCGTTCATACTCGTGAAGGAAGAGACGTACACGCTCCAGGATGTCTCGTCGAAGATCTTGAGCAGGTGTCTGGTCGCGCGCTACTGTGCCGATGCGTTGGTCAGTCTTGACCAGCTCCGAGACTTTCTGGACACCGAATCGAGCGTAGAACTCCTCGAGAAGCTCTTCCTGTGGGGCTGCGATGATGAAGTCGCGGAACCGGGTCATATAGTTGACGTTATCGATAATCACGATCTCGCCAGCTTTGTTGAGCGACCACTCGCGATGGACGTTGTCCTCATCAAGGTCATCAATGTCGTCTTCGCCTGCATCGGCGACGTTTTTACTATCCTCTTTGATATCGCGGTAGCCAAGAAGCAACCTCGATGCTATAAGTGATTTGACCAAATCCTTATCCTTCCACAGATTCGGAGCATGTTCGGCCAGCTTTCTCAGCAAATCGAGATATTTCTCTTGCCCAATGGTGTTGAGGAACCGAGCAGGATTCTTTGCGAGGAGGTACGCCAGATCGTGAGTAGTTGGCTCATGCTTTGCGCCAACCTTGAGAAGGAAGACTGTAGCTTCCGCGCCATAGTGCACGTAATCGAGGATGCCACGATACTCCTGATCACGACCTACGAAAACATGCTCGGGTGGATCGTAGTGATGGATGCGCATCTCGGTCTTGCCAGTTTGATTCTTGGATCTATCTTCGAATCCGCTGCAAGCGGGGTCGAGGTAGTACTTCCGAAAGATTGGTACGATGTTGGAAGTCGCGAGGTTCTGTATGAGTCCTTTGTATTGATCCAACTCGGATCCGCGCGAAGCAAGATAGGCAAACTGCATTTCTGCATCAAGCTTAGTCTTGGGTGGAGTCTTCATCAGGTATTGAACACATGGGCCTATGCTCGGATCACGCTGAACCCCCAGCTTCTCGGCATGACTCCGAAGATCGCTTCTTAGGATGGGAAATCCTAGACATGCTGCGTGCTCATTGGTGTAGCACTGGAACGGACCAACCAACGCCGGGAACGGAGCCTGTTCTGTCGGCAAAATCGGGAGGGTGAGAGCAGCGAATTTCTGGTGCTCCACAGCGTAATTGTTCTTGTAGTAGTTCGTTAACAGGTAGTCCATCGCACGCATGTACAGCTGGAGATCCTTGGCTTGACCGGCGCGATGGAGTATGTTTGCAACGGTGATGGAATCTGGGCACTGTCGTAGTCCGAGACGCAGCAGCAACACGCCCTCTCGTGTAGTGGGCTTGAATTCGAAAGGCAGCTTGATCTGAGTCAGGCCTAGAGCTACAATGGCCGGGTCGGGGGCATAAAGGTCTGAAGCCTTGAACTGCTCGCCAGGTTTTACTAGCGTACCATCTCCTGGCAAGAACGCTGTCTGCTGTAGTCGACTAAGATCCTTCGCAGGTATCTCGTTGATGACCGACGCGAAGTAGCGAATAAGGTCAACGTGATTCCAGGTCGGCTTTTCGGATTTCTCCGACTGCTGCGCGTCGCGACTTCGCATTCGATCAAACACCATAGGAAGATCGATGGTCTTCCGAACACCGAGCGCCAATAGGAACTTCTCCTTCGAACCCGCAAACGGCGTCACAGTTGGCAGATCATCAAACAGCTTAACAGTAGGGAAGTACGACTCCGCCGGTCGCCGCATGCCCATCTTCGTCGGCAAGATCGTGTGTGGGGTCAAAATCTTGACAACAGTCTCCTTGGAATTTCCATCAAGCTGTTCCCAGCACTTGGATGTCAGTGTTAGCACAGAGAGAGCAAGGTTCTCATCCTTAGTAAACTCGTCTAGCTGCGGGCGTGTTGTCATGTGTCGAAGCCAGCGAACCATTGACAATTCCACCCAGCCGAAGAGTTGCAGTTGTTTGATCGACATGCCTCTGGTGAAGGAGAAAGGAATAGTGTCTGGCGGAAGAGGTAGATGTGCACCGATACGCGCTGGGTTAACAAACGTGCTAATATCGCCCAATGCCAGTATCCTGCCAGAGTTCTTTTCTGGCTCAATGTCGATATTAGCGACTGTATTTTCGAACAAGCTACGAGAGCCGGGCACATCGATTTCGCCGCTTTCCAGCTTAGATCCACACCACTTAAGAAATTCGGAGAGTTCATCCTCGCTAAGTGCTCGTGACTCTAACCCTTGACGAATATCCTGCATTGTGAGCTCCGTGATGAAACCGCGATTGTGTAAATTGAGCATGAAGTCGACTGCTGCATTCGCGAGTTCTTGTGGGACCATGGGTACTTCTCCCAGGAAACTTAGAGTTTCTGCAGGCATACGCACACGCTTACTGGACATGACGCCCTTGGTCGAAAGGATGTCGATGGATCGTTCCTTCGAACAATTCCAGAACGCCTCGTCGATCTTATCTCCAAGGGATGTAGAAGGGTGCGATGATTTGGCCGTGTATTGTTTGAACACGTAAGCAGTCTTCGTGATCAAGGTCTCGATGGGTTCCTTGCCGAATTGGGTCTGCAAAGCTGCCAATTCTGCTGCGTAGGTGATGCGACAGGCCAGCCCTGCAACACGCAGGAGCTCAATATTCCAGGTGGAGATGTAGCGAGCGTTCATGTCGACATTCTCGCGCTCAACCGTCGGGATAAGAGATGGCGCAGAGATGTGCGCGAGGTAGCCAGTCGTCTGGGCAGTCGGAAATCCGATAAAGATTCGACCAGATTTTGTCGGAAGGACTTCTGCAAAGATCTTGTCGGCAAGCGCAGCTGAACTGCCAGAGCCCGTAGCCAGCGTGGCTGACGGATCTTGGTATGGACAAGTCAAGAGAGCGATTTTGGTCGTCTTCGGAGGTGACTTCTTAGTTGCGCGCTCAATCTCCGCAGCGAAGTTTCGTGAGACTTTAGTGGCTGCCACCACAGTGCATACTTGCAAGAAGATGGTGCCAGTCGAATCGCCTGCTATCTCTTCAATAGCATTGGTCCTCTCGGCCGCAGGTTTGACGTTCTTCGTGGGCGGCGGAGGAGGCGCCGATGCGAATTTTGAGAAGAAACTCCGTAATGAAGTACCCGCATTGCGAACTTCTTGTTGTACGAGGTCGGCAGCTTTCTTTGGGGGTATCTGAGCAGTAGCAATGACGTTCATCCAGGCAGCATCAATTTGAGAGTGTTGTTGCGTGACATCAGTCACCCGCATCAAGCCGCCTTCGGTTTCAGTCTTCAGTCCGTTAGGCACACGGA